TATGGGAGGATGTGAGTTCTATAATACCTCCTTCTATCTTCATCTACACCCCGTTATTGTGTTTCATATACAAAGTGAATTGTGAAAATGCTCCATCCTCCCCAAAGTCCTGTATGATCTCTAGGCCCCATCTCCTTTTTTATATGTATAGGCACTACTCTACTCCTGATTTGTGAGACACAGATTTATATCCTTCTGACAACTTCAGAAAGGGAAATTTTAACTTTCTCTCACGATCCCATTGTATTACTAGGTTTGAGATGCTCGATGCTGCAAAGAACAAGGTCCGGGTGAAGATCAGCTATGTAATGATTGCCTTGACAGTGGCAGGATGCATCTGGATGGTTATTGAGGGCAAGAAGGTGAGAGTGGACTTGCCGTCTATCTTTGTGTATTTTCCACAAAAAAACCTAGAGGAAGTCAGGGGTTGACCCTTGTATTTATTCTCTGTGATGAGGAGGCTACTTCCTACATGAGAAATGATAAGAAACAAAATAAAACATAGTAGGAACAAACCTGAGATATGATGCCTGGAGATAAATAGCAAATCCTAACTTTGGCAAGGTGAAGGACTAAATTAGTTTTGGTTAAGTAAAAAAAAGTGTTTAGTTATCACAGATGTCATAAGTAATGTAAAACAAGTAATATGACACTGGCATACTTACTAATAACTCCTTGCATGTCTGTAAAGCACTCTCATTTTTTTATTGATCCTCACTCTGCTCTTGGTGAGTGTTCTTATCACTGTTCTTTACCTGATGTTCAAACTGGGCCATATATCTAAGCTCCTAAGTGGTACATAGGAATTCAGGTCCAGAAATCCAGTCATTATTAACATCTATGTTACTGTCTTCCAAGTACCTTGCAGTTATCTTATTTAAACCTCACAACAACACTGCAAGATAGATAATTTGATTAGGACCTCATTTATAGATGAGGAAACATAGCTTAGAAACCTTTAGTAACTTACCCAAGTTCACACACATCTCCCTAATGGCAGAGCCACAGTTTGAACCTAGACCTGTCTAATTGAGGTGATGGTAAAAGTGCTCCCAGTTACTGATTGCTCATTATGTAACAGGTATTGTTAAACTTATTTAATGACCACAATAATTCTAAGAACCTAAGAGGTAGGTTCTCTTATTATCCGTGTTTTGTAAAAGAGGAACCTGAAACTTAAAGATGTTAAATAATTTTCCCAATGTCACATAGCTAATAAGTGGCAAGACAAAAAAGTGGAGCCAAGTTTGCCAGTTACCAAACTGCATATATACTGTCTTGTGATTAAAATAGTTATTTTTATATGCAGCAGTACTGGCCAAGGCGTTACTTTAACACCATGTCTAATTCTATATATCACAGCTTCCATGTGGAAAGAGATGTCTCATATCTGTTGTCAGATATTTAAAGGGTTCTTCTGCAAACCCAGTGGTAACTGACATCCTTATCCCCAGTGAGTCCAGAGTAAAAGAAATGAACTTCTGGCTCTCTTTAGAGTCTTGGAATAGAAGATACTGACCATTTAGGCTGATGTTATGGGAGCACGAAGGGCAAGTGTGGAGGCCTGGGTGAATCTCTCTTGACTACTCTGTTCCTGCCCCACTTCAGTATTTTTTCTGTCTCCCTCTTTGACTTTTCATGCTTAGCTCTCAGACTGAACCTGCAGAAGCATGTAGACAGGACATAGGGCTTTCTAGAATTCTGAGAAATCTGCATTGCTTTTGTCTACTTGATTATACTAGCTGAGTTTATTTATTTTTTAATAAATTTATTTATTTGTTTTTGGCTGCATTGGGTCTTCGTTGCTGTGCACGGGCTTTCTCTAGTTGTGGCGAGTGGGGCCTACTCTTCATGTGGTGTGTGGGCTTCTCACTGCGGTGGCTTCTCTTGTTGCGGAGCATGGGCTCTAGGTGTACGGGCTTCAGTAGTTGTGGCTCGTGGGCTCTAGAGCACAGACTCAGTAGTTGTGGCACATGGGCTTAGTTGCTCCGTGGCATGTGGGATCTTCCCGGACCAGGGCTTGAACCCATATCCCCTGCATTGGCAGGCGGATTCTTAACCACTGTGCCACCAGGGAAGTCCTACTAGCTGAGTTTAAATACTCCATAAACAAATCACTTCTGAGGTCTTTCCTAGCCTCATCCAAGGGTATACGCTGTATAGTTTAAAGAGTTCCTCTCCTGTTCTATACTATAAAATTTTATTATTTCTCTTTTATGGAACTATCCGTTTCTAAAAAGTTGGTAAATGCTACTGGAATGAAGAACTTTTGAACTTAATGTGATTTAGAAGACAGAAATTAGCCATTGTGTTTTGTCCTCTCCATCAACTTACCAGTCCGATTCTCCTCCCCTCCCCATACTTAATTCTTTACATGTGAAATCACACAGATAGAAGAAAATACCACCTTATAGGGTGCTGTCTTCACTCATTTGGTATAAAAAATTTGAGACTGGTCTGTTTATGTAAGCTTCAAAGAGATGTAACAAGTCACAGGGAGGGAAATAAGGGAAGAGGATGGTTGTTTCTTCTCCACTCCTGTTTGCTCTCAAAGGATGGAAAAGCAGGGTAGACACTGCTGGGAGTCATCAGTGGTAGTATTTGGTGAAGTCTGGGATTCCCAAAGCTGAATGTTTTTGGTACAAGAGGAGTAAGGAACTAGAAGGGTGTGAAAATATACAAATGAGTTGGGGAAGGAGAAATGGTAGCAACAAAGAAAAGTGAGAGGAGGGAAAAAAGGGATAGAAATGGAAACAAGAAGGTATTTAATACTAAAAAGAGGAAAAGAGAAAGACAAGGGAATACATTATAAAGGGAGAAGAGAGGCTGGAAGATTTGAAGAAAGGAGGCCAGAAAGGAGGAGAAGGTAGAGGTGTGGCATTTCTCTCTGGTGCTTGAATGGGTGAGCTGCTGTTCTAGGAAGGCTCAGAGGAGGCAGAAGGCGCGTGGAGGGGCTGCTGTGCCGGGAGCACAGGCAGCCAACCCTTCCATGCCTGTACTTCTCGTGACAGCCTGCTGGCGTCAGTGCAGTGACATCCTCCCCAGACCAGCATAAATAATCACTTGTTCAAATTGGTTTCACTTTAGGGTGCCAAAAGACACGAGTCTTTAACAAGCCTGAACCTAGAAAAGAAAGCTCGTCTGAGAGAAGAAGCTGCTGTGAAGGCCAAAACAGAGTAGCAGAGATATCCATGTTGGCTGGATTTTGAAAATCTAGAAACAATGTTGCAGTAACAGGCCTTATTAAAATGAATGTGGTATGAGTTCCCTAATTCTGCTCTAGAGCTACAAATAAATTTTCTTAAAGAAATGACTTGTCTATATTTTACGGCTTTGATCCAGGTTAAATGCAGCCTCAGCTTTTTTGAGAAAATGAAAGAATGAAAAGTGAGACAACTTACTTGAACTTTAATATTAACTCTTCTTTAGAGAGTCAGGTCCCGTACCTTACTTTAATTCCCATTACCAAAGTGACATCTCCCCAGAAGCCAAATGGTTTCTAGTTCTGCATTTCTCTCTCTTCAGTGTCCTCATTTCTGAAGAGATAAGGAGGGCCAGCTGAGTACACTGCCCAGGTGCACGTTGGAGAGCTAACCTCCCCAAATACCCTGGTGTTTCTCGAGAGCCCTGGGAAGCAGCCAGACCACACTATGCCTTTGTCAGGTGTGCTGGAAGACAGAGGCTTTTAGGAGAACAGTCTTTGAAAAAGTCCCGGCAAGGTGATGATGGAGGTCTGGCCACAAGTTTCTGAGGATTTTGAAATCCCAGCACTGTGGAGTCGCTTGGGGCCAGCACAGTCACCTCTTTTGCTCCATGGCTTACAATTCCCAACCGGTCCTTTTTCTTCTGCCTTTACACTAAATTTCTCAGTTATGAATATCTATCAAATGCATTTTCTTATTAGTGCTGAAAAATAAGCATTTGCACCTGGTATGTATCTTACTTACAGTTCGACGAGGGTGCCAGGTTGTCTCACATTTAGGTATGGATGCTGGTTTCTATTTAAGTATTTCATTTATTCTCATGTGCTTCAATAGTATTAACGGATGGCAGGTCCGCATAAACATCCCAACCTGCTGGTTCTCTTCAGAGGGTTATAGCAGATTAACAAGTAATATATGCAGCTGTTTGGGAATTTGGTTTAATAAAATACTCAGTAAAATGTAACGCACCACTCTACCTACAGCTTCATAATCTATCTGATGATGTTAATTGTGTCTGTCTATATACTTTACAGTACTTCAACCTTAGCTTCATTTTAGATATCAAGCTCTTTGATTTTTATCACTTGCAAATTTATCATCAAAAAGCATTGCTTTGTATACATTTTAGCAGATTAGTTTTTCTTGATTATTTTGGAACACTTATGTTACGTCTTATCTAAATACGGGTTTTAAATATGGGTAAAATCTAATGTACTTCTTTTTAAAAGTGTATCATCTTTCTTCATAGAACAATACCATTTTTAACTTCTAAAGAAGCATTTTAAAGTGTTGTATCTTGGAGATATATTGTAATAAAATGTATGATTAAGTCAAAGCTCAAAAATGCTACCATACAGCAAGAATTTATATAATCATTTCTCATTTTGTGTCAACTCTCCTATTCAATAACTTATAGTGACTACCTCTTTTTGGGTTAAATATAAATTTCATGACCAGTATTTAGGACCTGCCCCTATCTAATCCCACTTCTCCCAGTACCCTCACTTATTAACTTCTTAGCAGTCACTCACCACTAGTAATTCTAGTATCTTATATTGCTTACAACTTGTCAAGCAGATATTTCATGAGCACTATTAAAAGCAACAAGGGCAAAACTGTCTTCTTTTGTATTCTATAATACATACTTTCAATTAAGTGATCATTGTACTTATGTTTTGCTTAATTCCTAGATTATTTTTTCGTGTTTATCATGTCTCTATAGGTAAAATGGGCAGAAAACATTTTCCACTTCATATTTCCTGTAAGCCCTATTTGAATAAAGTTAACATGTGAGGCTATGGTTAGATACTTTTAATCAACAAAAATAATAGTATAGGGAATTGACTCCAAAAACTTATTGAAAGCAGGCAAGGAATGAAGTTGTGATGGTGGTATAATTCATTGTCATTCATCAAACATTTCTTGAGTCTCTCCTATATACAAAAAGTGAGAATACAAAGATAAATAAAACATACTTGACTCTGCAGAGCTCATAGTTTACCAGACACATGGCCCATGAAACCATTACAACACAAATTGGTAAATGATATATTTTGAATTTTATAACAGAAGCTATAGCAAGAAGCAAGAAAACTGAATTCAGCTGTCAGCTGTGGCTGGAGGCAGGCAGCCAGTGATGGTTACACAAAGTGGTGATTTTCTGAACTGAGCCTGTAGCATGGGTAGGGTTAGGTCAGACCTAATGAAACAGAGCAGCCTCATTCAGACATTGAGCTTGCCCTGAGAATCAGGAGAGGGCAGTCTGACGAGGTAGTGAGAGGTCCTTCAGTAAAATGCCTTTATAATTTTGTTTATTTGGTTTATTTTTAATTTGGTTTATTTTTAATTTAAAATTTAAATTTTTTAATTTGGTTTTATTTTTAATTTGGTTTATTTTTAATTTTTATTTTGATAAAAACTTAAAACTTTTAGATCCTCAGAACAAACACAACCATTGCTTATTTTTCCCAATTTACAAACTTGATTCCATGGACCATTTCACGTCCCATCATGGAGGCTATCACTTAAAGTGTATGAGTGGCATCTGTCATAAATCTCCAATCCACCACCATCCTAGGCTTATTCTCTTAATTCACCTGATCGCCCAAACCAAATACCTTGGAGTTATTCCAGACTCCCTTGCTCCCCTCATTTAATCAGTCATCCTGTCTTGTGAGCCTTACTTCTAAATTTTTGTCAAATACAGTGATCCTCTAGAATAGTCACTGAGAGGAACAGAATGAGAATCTGCTCAAGGACAGACATGAGAGATTAATAACAGACCTTAAGATTAAAGTCAGAAGCCCTGGGATCTAGACTTGCTTTTCCAACTGTGTTGCTTTGCAAATTGAGGTTATAGGTCTTAAAATCTTGTAATTCAAGGCAATGTTTTTTAAAAAATACAAAACCATGCCAAAATTGAGAGGAAACCATCTTTTAAAATACCTAACCTTGTTTTTTTTTGGCCAATCTGACTCTACTACTTGATTTCTAAAGGGTTTAGTAATTACTCATCCACAATTTAACTGTTTTGTCATTTCCTAATGCTGCTGATGCAATGATGTTTTCTGTAGGATGACAAGCTGCTGAGATTACAACATCTGTATGGCCTTGTAATTTCTGTACAATCTCTTTAGTCTGAAGGTTCCAAATATAAACCAGGTTATCCTCTGAACCAGACACAATCCACTTTCCACCAGTAACTGAAAAACTGGCAAATATGCAGTATTTCTCGTTCTTGTGACCAGTATATGTCTTCAGGCATCTGCCTCTGCTATAATCCCATAGTTTAAGAGTATTGTCCAAAGTTGCAATGAGAATATATTTACCATTTGGAGAAAATTTTACAAAAGAGACAGGAGGGTTATCATCATCAACAAGTGTTTTTAAACACTGACCTGATGCAGCATCCCAGATTCGACAGACACCATCATAGCTACCTGACACTATCAAGGACCCGCTACAATTAAAGTGAACAGCAGAAACTGGGTCAGAATGAGCAGACAAAGTCTTAAGGCACTTTCCTGTTTTCTCCTCCCATATTTTCATGCTCTCATCAAAAGATCCTGAAATGATGAGGTTAGATGGTGGATTGAAATTACAGCAAAAAACATAATCACTGTGCCCCGTAAGCGTTTTCAAACATTTTCCAGATCTCACATCCCAAATCTTTAGAGTTTTATCATCTGAGGCAGAAACAAGACGACCGGAATCTGATGACCAGGCAACATCTGATATTTCCAGATTGTGTCCTTTAAGTGTTTTCTCGTTTTTTCCATCATAGGCTCCCCAAATTATAATTACTTTATCAGCAGAAGAACTTGCCAGCCATTCTCCATTAGGACTAAACTTAACTGATGATACTGCTTCCGTATGTCCCACCAGAGTAAATTTCAGAGCATAGTTTGGTTTTTCAGACACACGCTTGCTCAGATTGGCTGATGAGAGAGCCGACTCTGCTTTGGCACCTCCTGACTCCTTTGTAGTCATGACTCTGAAGCTCCAAGTCTGTAGGCTGGCTAGATGTCCGGTCCTGAACCAGGCAGCCAGTATTTTGGCCCTTCTGTCCAGTAAAATGAAGATAAAAAACATCGGACTCAAAAAACAAAAAATCAACAAACTAAAAAACGGTCTTTTAGTGACAATAATTTCTGGATCGTTTTTAAACTGCAATATACACTGATACAGCAGCACGGCTTGGACCGCTTCAGTTTTTCCTCGCTTCTTCCTCTGTAAACAAATACTTGAGAAATACTATTAAAAGGGTCCTGTGCGCTGTCGGCAAGTAAGGTATTACTGCTGGGTATTCTGCGAATGTATAAAGCGGTCCAAAGCTGCACGCGGAGGGGTGGGGCGAGGGGGTGGGGAGAGGGGTGGGTGGGAATCTACAGAAAGTATTTCTCACCGCTCCTCCCCCCAGCTCTGAAATGTTTGCGACTACTGAGCACCCCTACCCGCCAGTACCTAACTCTACTTGAGCATGAATGAATCACCGCTTTAAACAGATTTCAGAAGCTAAGCGAAAACCTGCGTGGTCTCGGTTCCCTGAGGTCAAGGCCTGTGGCTCACTCTCCACACCGCTCCGTAGCGAACTAACGCGAGGCCAGCACAGCCGGGCGCCTGCGCAGAGGGTGCCCTTCCACCACCACTTCCGAACCGAGGTGACTTGTGGGGGAAGCCCGCTTGCGCTTGCGCAAAAGAAAGTCCTGAGGTTTTCTTCAGGCATTCTGAACCCTCGACCTCCACGGGTGGCCAGTGAGCTGCGTTTTTGGGCGAGAGGGAAAGTGAACAAGGCTTCTTCCAGATCTCACTGGCTAGCGTAGGAAGCAGTGAGTATTTCGAAGAACATTCATTACTTTTTGGAAACCGTGTGACGAGAACGGACTGAATTTTGCGATGCCGGTAGCTGCAGGGTTAAGCCCGCATTTGCATGTAAGGCGCTCAGACCGCGCGTTTCTTAGCAGACCGGTGCCCACCCAGCGCCGATGACTCTGCGTAAGCTCCGGCTGCACAGGTGGCTTTCATTATGTTCTCCACCTGCTGTGGTGTAGAGCCTGGTGGGGGGTACGAAAGGCTGCAAGTAGGCGAGGGGGACGTAGCTAAATTTACGCCCAGATTGTAAGACTTCTGATTTAAAAAGTGTTCCCTAAACGTTTCGGGAAGGATAAAGAATATGTGTTAGGGGCCTTTAAAGGCCAGTGCCCACCAGGTAGCCCGACATGGTAGTGCCGGGGGAAATGAGCAGACGTTTGTCTTAGCACTTCCTTATGGTTTAGATTTTCCAAAGACAAAGTTCAGATCTGCATAGGTGTTTGGAACGGAAAAGGTGGAATGGGTTAAGAAATGTGTAAGGTTACTCGTAACTAGGCTTTAGCCAGCCCTCCCTACTTTTAAGAAATGATTAGTGGCTGTGAAGTTCGTGAAGGATAGATGCTTTTCAGGTGTAAATTACTCTTTAAACAAGAATAAGTTTACCAAAAATGGAAGCCTGTTTTCTCCAATCCTGTATAGTCTGTCCCTTGGTATCTACAGGGAATTGGTTCCACGACACCCTCCCCCCCGCCCCGCCACACATAATACCAAAATCCACTGAACGCTCAAGTCTTTTGTATAAAATGCTGGAGTATTTTCATATAACCTACTCACATCCTTCCCTATACTGTAAATCGTCTCTAGATTACTTACAATACTTAATACAAATGCTATGTACATAGTTGTCAGGATGAAGCAAATTCAAGTTTTGCTTTTTGGAACTTTCAGGATTTGGGGGGGAAGATTTTTGATCTGTGGTTGGTTGAATGTGAGGATGTGTAACCCACATATAGGGAGAGTCGATCGTAATTGCTCAATAAAGAGTGCCCAAGAGAGGCTGTTAGTGTTGTTTGAAAGGTTTTCCTGGTAGCCAGTTGAAGTGAAGAAGCAAATGTGTCTCATGATGTTTTCTGTCAGTCACCAATTAAAGCATTTGGAAATAAAGGGTCTCCTGTCCTGTACATACTGGGGATAATTTAAAGTCTTGCTTTTATAAGGCACAACAGCATAATTAGATCACCTAGAATAAACTAGTAAAAACCTCATTACTTAAAGACTGTACTACTCTAGTTTGGAATGTAGACAGGAATTGACTTAGCTAGTGCAAATTAACAGTATAAATACAATGTGGTGCTGAGAATGGGAAGAGCATCTTTAAAATGGTTTGAAGCATCCATTTTTATACATTATCTTAATCTGATTAAACTCCACCTCCTCTCTCTCCTTTCCTCCTCCCATTTGCCAGGGTTAGAGTGATTTTTACTGGGAAGCTTAGAAACACTCTAAATAACTCATTAAAAAATAAATTTAAAAGCACTTCACAGAACATAGGCTTTGTTTCAAAGAATATAAGTAAATCTGTATTTTTGCAACAGAGTAAAGAAAGGCAATTAGACAAGGTAAACACATGGTCTGAGGGCTAAGATGGGTGTTGGTACTGGAGTATATTTAGCCCACTAGAAATACCACAAGCATGAGGGAGAGAGGGGGCACACAATTAACAATGTGTTGACAGGAATATCCAGAAATGATTTTGTGTCAGATTTTCCCAAAATTTGAGTGAGAGATTTCAGTATTAAAATTCATTTCTTGGTGTCTGCAGTGTTTTTATGAATAGCATCAGGAAGTCGTGTAAAGAAAAAGCTATGAACTAGTTAAATCTTTATTCATTAGTCATGTTCTAATACTAACATGTAGTCCTAATATTGTAGTCCGTATGGATTAGGACAAAGAATTAGTTTACTTCCTTGGGAGGAGGGGAGCATCAGCAACTGTGGAGTGTGTAGGAATAGGGAATACTGATACAAGTAAATCCAAAGTGGCTGAAACCATAACTAGAGATTTGCATTTGGGGCTCTCAAGCAAAATTCCTTACTCGGTCCCGTTTTTAATCATTTCTATTTTTGCTACTTTTAATCTTCACCAGATAGGGGATTTGGAAGTTTCTCTCCCATTAAAGTTTCTTTAAATTTCCCATAGAAGTTTTAGAACTGAAAGTCTCATCTGTGGTTGAAAGGTTTATTCTCCTTGCCACCCAGTAAAGTTGCAATTCTAAGTAGAAATATTGCCACAAATGGGTCATTTTTTTTTAATTCTAAAAAAATTGGGGGTGGGGGGTGGGTATGTGTGTCAGACCTTAAATATGGCCTGGGAGTGATTCCTATACTAAGAACAACTTGACTGACGTCCTTCGTAGCAACTGATTACCAAATCCAGACCTCAAAAATCAAGCATAACAGAACTCTATACATACCCAGTTGCCTAAGACCACTAGCAATTTAAATATACAAGCATCTCTTTGGGCTAACTATGGGGTGGCCATGCAACTTATCTAAACTGAGACTTCTTTAAAGTGAAACGGGGCACTAAAATAATTAACAGGTGTTGATTTAAAAACTGGGACTGCCCCCCAGCAAATCAGAACAGTAAGTGTGGACTTCCCAAGAGGGCTCTCCTCATTATCAGAAGTTAATCTTGGAAGATTCTACACTCTTTGTATGCTAATTTGCACTCCAGCCTTCGCAGATCTCTCCCCACTACTGTGGTCTTCTGGGTTTCTATTTTCTCCTTACCCATAAATAATGCTGGAGCCAAGTGTTTTAGATAGGGCAGTGATCCATATTGTGGACACCCGCTGGGCTCCTTTGGCTTCCTCAGGTTAAGTGGGTATAGATAAAGAAATTTAGAGAGTAATTTCATTCTTTGGAAAAACATTCAAGATCACAGAAATGACCATTATTGATTTTAAAATTAGAAAAATACTTTTTTTTAAAAAAAAAGGTCATGAAGAACCTAGGGGTTAAGACGGGAATAAAGACACAGACCTACTATAGAATGGACTTGAGGATATGGGGAGGGGGAAGGGTAAGCTGAGACGAAGTGAGAGAGTGGCATGGACATATACACTACCAAACATAAAATAGACAGCTAGTGGGAAGCAGCCGCATAGCACAGGGAGATCAGCTCGGTGGTTTGTGACCACCTAGAGGGGTGGGATAGGGAGGGTGGGAGGGAGGGAGATGCAAGAGGGAAGAGATACGGGAACATATGTATATGTATAACTGATTCACTTTGTTATAAAGCAGAAACTAACACACCATTGCAAGGCAATTATACTCCAATAAAGATGTTTTAAAAAAATACTTTTTTTCAAAATGGCAAATGAAATAGGGGCAACAGTCATCTAAGGTAGCTTTAATAAACTTGTAAACCCTACAATTGTGTACTATGGATGATAGTGTAGTCTGCAGGAACTAAGACTGTTTTAAGATTTTTTGTTTTCAGAAAAAATACCTGGTCAGTGGAATGTCAAAAATGGTAGAGAAGCAATCACAGAATGAATAAATACATCTTTCTGTTTCTACTGATTTGTTACTTAAATTGGAAGAATGTATAAAGAAAGTATTCTCATGCAGCAATACATATAATGTGTAAAAATGAAAAATATTTAATAGCCTAATAAGGCAACCACCACTTCCACATTGGTTGGATATAATTGGCAAAAAAATGTTTTCTTCTTAGAGTATGCCAGAAGAGACTGATGAGCTATTTCTGGTGTATATATAAACATGGTGTTGATTATATATTAGTTACCCTGTAAAATATACCCATTAACTTTTCTCAGAAGGCAGAGGGTTTTTTGGGGTTTTTTTTTTTTTGTTTGCTTTAATATAACAAACCTGTGTTATGACAGCGTTTGCTTTTGTAAACTTCAGGTCAAATTATGTCTCCTGAAAGGGAACTACATATAAAACACTTAAATTTTGAGACACTAAAGAGTTGCTAATCCTTGTTTCAAACAGCAGCATAAAGGAATTCCTTTGAGCTTTCTTTGGTACCCAAGTACCCTTTACTAATATCACATAGATGCACATTCCTTCAGTCATTTAATATTTATTGAATGTCTACTGTGTGCAAGGCACTCATCCATGGCCTGACCAACCACATTCAAGTACAAAGAATCATTAGAACCATTCCAAATCAAAGTGTAAGAACACTTTGAAAAAGGACATAGAGTGGTCAAAATGACGAGGTAAGCAGAACATACTCAACAACATACATTAAAAGGTCATTTTTTTAAACTTTGGACACTCCTGTGTTGACACTCCTTTAGGAAGCTGTGTTAACTTCACATCCATGGATGGCACTGCTTTCTATGGCAGCGTTCTTTGTTCCAAAGCCTTTCCCTCTCTGTCAGTACTTCCTACATTTGAGTTTGTTGAATGGAAACATGTTTCTGAGTTTAGCCATTATGCTTCTAAACTCAAAATCAATCATTTATATATTATTTTTAACTTGTCAGGTCATACAGAATTTTAGCACCACAGAAGGGGAAAGATGTTTGGACTGAGAGGGTCTACACTCCAGATTATGTAACCTAAAAGCAATTCATACCTGATTTAGTCATTTCAAGGGGACTGATAAGGAAGAACGAGAAAGAACGGCCCAACAAAACAAGAGTTGGCCCCGCTATGGTTACTGGGTCTTGTTCTGGGAATTCTTGGCACAGAACACCTCACTGTGACTGCTGCTTTCTTCAAGACACACAACCTGCAGGGCTTTTCCCCACCTTTAGACAGTGTCCAAGGGCTGT